TGTTCGAATCCAACCAATACCAACCCCTGACTTCCCCCATTGTGTATTGAATAACAGCCCTTTGGAGTTCCGCTTCCCCTTTCCTGAAAGTGCTTTCATTGTTCATTCAATAACAGGAAGTAAAATAAAATAGAAGAAATGTGGTGAACTAAACATTAGTTGATTAGTTTCGTTGACAAACCCTGTTACAAATATATAAAATCAATATTGGAGTTAGCACTTACAGTTATGAACAAGGTTACGCACACAATCCGAGCATTAAAGCACTTCCTGCATCCTCATAATACTGACAACCTGTGGGTAGCAACTATGGGCACTCCGCGCATTATTGCCAGTACGTTGTGGGCACCAGTAATCATCATCATCATCATCATACAGCGAAATACTGCAAACTCGCAGTGCATACAAGGTTGGTGGTAAATTTTGAGGTAGACAGGGATTGGACCTACCTTGAGAGAGGGAGAAGAAGGTGGATCTCTATGGTCAACGAACAGAGTACACAATGGAACTGCGTGTACATATCGTTTCCAGTATTCTGGTCTAAACGTTGGTTCGTTGCCATATGCAATAACGTCTCCAACCAACCAGTTGCGGAGTTTTTCGGACCCCATCAACCTGGAAGGCACGAGACACCTGATCTACCTAATGGCTCTGTGCGTTTCTTCATGCCTCGTCTCCACATCATCTGTCGACATCCATGTGGTTTCCTCCAGCCCGGAGAGGCTGCCACGGAGTAAACACAATGCGATAGGCCACTGCTGGGTATATGCCATACGCGCCAAGCCAACGAATCTGAATTCGATTTGCCACCAGGTTTATCCCTGATAAACTCTCAAACACACGGCGGTTGACCTCCAGATTACTAACTTCCTCACTCCATCAGACGTGGACTAAATTATATGAACACCGATAATCGAAAACTTCTAGTCGATGAATATCGACACCACTAGTTCAGGCTCTTCAATTACTTTATGCAATTCACTCTCACTCAACATATGTACACAAAGACGGGTAGATGAATGTGCATAAAAATAATTTGTCTAATGTATAACGTTTCTACAGAATATATTTTTCGTTATCTTCATTTAGACCGAAAGTTAGTGAACGTAAAATTGGGATGGGGATGCAACAATTACTTATCGCACTGTACCCATGCTGAATGGTTTACATCAAACAGCTTTCATTTTACAGTAATTGATTGATTTGCCTCCCTTGGTTTGTCACGTGTTACGAGGACTATTGTATTTCGTCTAATTTACTGTTTCCATGATTATCACCGCGATATTTTCCTTCTTTCAAATCCACTGGTTATTCTATACTGTGCGAGTTGATTACCCTCCGAACTTATAAGACATTTATCGTGTACGATCACATACAGATGTTTCACTTCAACAACATCACAAACGAAAACCCATTGGGACTACAAATCATACCCGTGTGGCATTTAAACGCTGTTCAAAACATTTTAAGTGGGAAGAAGTGTGTATGACGGAAGACCAATTGCACACATAACGAAAACTCTTGCATCCCCTCTGGCGGACATCTCAGCAGTGCGTCCGTTTCGTGTCCCTTTCGAAATACCCATC